CACAGAAACAGAGAAAGTTCTCTTTCCTGGATCAAAACTATGTCCAAATGTCAGTTTTCTTATTCATATTGATGTGCTGGTAAGATTATATGATGCCATGTTTACTCTTTAAAAGTTTACTCTTGTAAACTTTTGTGTTGTTTTTCATTTTCTAGTTTGTTTCTCTTTCTAAATATTAAATTCATTGGCTTCACTCTATTTCTTCTGTTTGTGGAAGAAATTAGGATTCAGGGAAAAAACACAATGGAAGATGCTGAATTTACTTCTTGCAAATCTGAATTATTAAGGGTAGATGTGGAGAGCAGAGTTCTTCCTCTTCTTAATCTATGGTACCATCTCTTTTAAAAAGTTCTGCACAAATCTGGATGTGGCTTATATTGTTTTTAAAAAAATCATTAAAAAACAAACAAACTTAGATATTTGATATCATCAGTTCTCAGAAAGAAAATTAAAGAAGAAAATCCACTACAAATATCAAGCTCTTGTGAAAATCCACTTACTAGTTACTTTAATGTCTGCTTTGCAACAGCCAATTGAATAGCCAAGGGATACTTTCTATTCATTAGCATTTTCTCCTTTCCATAATTTAGAACAACAGAATTGTACTTTACTCCTGGCATTATCATACTGTGGCAAAAGAAACAACAAATTACATCCTCATGCCAAAAACAGCACACCACTGTGAACTGCCAAAAAGGCTGACTTATCCAAGCACTTGGTTGTATTTTACATTTAAAAAAGGTCATTGATCAAAAATTGATTTCCACAAAGAAACTGAATCATTTTTATCAGATTTCCCCTATTTTTACTTCAAGAAGCTGGAAACACATTAAACAGAGACTCAAAACTCTTCAGGCTCAGTCACCTAATTCAATTACATCAAACAGACAAGGGGATCCGATTAGCTAGAGTAGATGGATTTTCACTATAAAATGTAAGTAACCACTGATAGAAAAAAGGACATGGCTGTTTGAAACTAAAAAAAAAACAAAAATGTTCATTCATTTGAAGTAAAATCATGCAATATTAAGAAGTATTTTTATTAGATACTAAAAGTAAAATAAGTTCTGCCTCATTCTCTTGCATGTTTTCAATGTCAAATTCTTAAAAGAACTTTCAACTGTAGTCTGAAATGCCACTGTTTCAAGAGCTGTCTTTTATAGTAATAGATATAAAATAATAAACCATTCATTGTATTTATTATTTGCATCAAGTGCACAACAGCTACTTATGCTAGGTTCAAATAATTTAAGGTTTGGTTTATTCAAATTCTTCTTTGTCCAGCATCCTCTGGTGGCACATATGCTTGAATAAGCTATCTGAGAGGGAACATTTTCATCATCTTTTTATCCATTCAAATGTAATGCTTTCAAATTTATGACAGTACAGCAGTAAAGTATTAAGGTTTGGGGCAAGAAACATTTGATGGATCAGTTTCCATTGTCTTCTATGAAATAAATATTTCAGCTGCATGCATTGGTGTTCCAAATTATCTTCTCAAAGCAGTGCCTTACTCATTAATTAAAAAAATAAAATAAAGTCTTAGTAAGTGGATTTAGCTGTGGTAAGTCTGTTCTGAATTGTCTTCAGATTTGTGCCAACCAAAATGAAACTACACATTGTAATCTGTATGAAAGATGATATCCTAAAACGGGTGTCAAATTGGCGGTCCATGGGCCGGATGTATCATGGGCAGGCGACGCCCACCCCAGCTCCAAAGGGAAAAAACCATCATGAAACGTCACAAGACACCGTGATGCTGTGGGTTTGATACCCGTGTCCTAGAAGATTACAACTTCTCAGAAGTCATCTTCTCCTACTCCATAGAGATGAAGTTACCATACCCATGACCAAAAAAAAAAGAAAAAGAAAAAGAAAAAAACTGGAACATGAGCACTTGGCTTTCCATGATGGAACACTTAAAACAGACAGAAGAAGCATGTATTAGAATCAAAACATTACGTTTTGTTGTGTAGTTTGGATCCAGATGTGATTCCAGATGTCAGCACATTGGATTTACTTTACGCAAATAACATTAGAAGTCCAAATCCATTTTTTGAAAATATGATTTCTCTGACCTGCATTCTGTTATGGAGTTTTGCTTCATTTGTCTCGTTTACATTACCTGTTACATTCTTCTTAGCCTTGGGCTGAAGATGTGGAACAAACTTTCAGGGGAAGCTGTTTGCTGTTGTTGTTGGATTCCATTCCGTTTTGTTTCTGAGATGCAGCACATAATTATCCACTTAGTTTTGGTTAACTTAACAATATTTTTTTCCCCAAAAAGATCTTTTCTTAAGAAAATAATTTTTGTAGCTTTTTTGTTTGTTTGTTAAATAATCATAGTCTGGACACAATCTTGATTGCAGTCGTGTTTTTCCAAACAAAGAGATGTGCCTGAAAATTTAAGGACCTTAAATGTATGCCATCATCAGCAATTATAATACCCAAATAAATACAGTCCACTGCCCATGCAATGAAAAAGTAAAATATAAGCATTTACCAACTGTCACCTAAATTTGCCCCTAGGATTATTGATAATAAAGTCATCGTTCTTTTTCAGTTGGCTTTATATATGTTTTAGAACATGCCCCAAGAGCCTGATTCACCCATATGGTTAAACAAGGACTGTTTAATGGCTAGGTCAACAGAGGAAGCTAATTTGAAATGGAATCAGCTACATTATAGCCTTAGTTGGAAGTAAACCCAGATAGTTCTGAAGGCATCTCAAATAATAACTGAACAGCGGCTGCCTGGTTGCGAAATGACAACTAGTGTGTATCTCTGAGAAAAGAGGAAATCCACACGCTTCACAATATTTGGAGGGAGATTCTGCTGAAGATGAAGCTGCATTGGACATTTTGTTCATTTATTTCAGGCATCGGAAGAACTTCAGTATGTGCATGCATGATCAACAGCAGCAACTTGTCAATTCTTGTGCTTTCAAATTAAATTACAGTCAAGATATTTTTATGAGTTTTGAAAGGTTTATTTCACCTAACATCGTGTGCTTCTGCATCTTTATTTTGTTATTCAATATACAAGATTTATCTTCCTTTAAAAAAAAAAAAAGAACGTTTCACAAAGGCACAGCATAAAGTTCTTACCAAACTTCCTTGAAAGACATTTATCTTATTCATATTTTGCACAGTTCTGGATCAGTTAAAAATACAGTAACAGTGGTAAATCACTTCTGAGCGTATGTAAAGGCAGAAGAATAAAACCCAGTAACCCTGGGCAACACAAAGTTAAACCAGTTCTCGTGTGCAAACCAGAAGACGATTCACTTCAGAAGGCTACAGCTACAACCTTGCAAACAACTAAGATAGCCTCAAATCCCACTGACTTCCTTGTGGCTTCCATGTTTGCGGGTAAGAGAAGAGGACACTTTGTTAATGTAAAGTGCTAACTGTAGCCTCTTAAGGATTCTCTACAAGATCCAATAGGATGGCCTCATTGGCCATTTCATCTGTTTTCTACAAATGAACAAAGTGAGGCAAGCCCACATACAAATGAACAGTGAGGCAAGCCCACACACACACACACACACACACACACACACACACACACCAAAGGACTCCCACTGGAAATCTGCCAGTACAACAACCATCTTTTGCTAATTTCACTTTGTCAACTCCTCCTGAACTGGCTCTGGAGAGTTCCCCAATGATCCAGAGTAGATTTGGAGACTATACACAGGGCTGTAAAAGGGAAAAATAATTTGCCCTTCTTTCCCTTCCATCCAGTCATCAATGGATGGAAGGAACTGCACTTTTCTCATTAGCTCTTAAAAAAAAAAGTCGAGGTCTAAACAACCCTACTTGTGCTTGGCCAACATCTGTATGTTTGAAGTCAAAAGATTACCTGTTTTAGGTGTCTGAATTGGGGTATCTAGTATGATTAGATCATCATCATTTGGTCTTTGCTCACCCCAGTAGGAACAACCCATTTCTAGCTAGGATGTTGAGTGAGAATGTCTCTGCATCTGCGAAGGTTATAGAGGGATACGATCAATGTTGTTTATAAGTGTTCCACATTCTGGCTGTGGGGATTATGGAGCTCCTAAAACAATTTCTTTCACCCAAGATTCCCACTCAGAAAAAATAAATAAATTAGGGTATGAGCCTCATCATTCCTCTCTGCTCTCTAAAAGGCTAAGCTATTGCACTGTTCTTATTAAAGCATCTGCTCAATCAGAGAAGCCTATTTGCAAATTACTGTACTTTTTTTTTTAAAAAAACAAAACCTTGGCACCTAATTTCTTTACTGAATACAAATCAACCACCAACACTACCATAATTGTTTACAGGAACTGAAGGGAAGAGGCATATTTGAAAATGTTGGCCCGCATATGTCTAGTAAATTTGAATCCACTTTATTTAGAATATTGCAGATTGGTTTGTATCCATCTTTGTCAGACATAGAAGTTGCAGTGTCAATCCAAAAAATGCTTTGCATTTAGTGATTTTTTTTCCTTCAAGATTTAGACTGTGTGTGTTGGTTGCACTTAAGACAACAGAATATGATAAATACCGTATATACAAGTTTTGAAGCAACAAAATGGCTGCAAAATGACAACCCAGTCAAGATAGAAACTGCTGAAAAAAAAAATACAGAACTTTCTTTGATTCCCTTCATACAAAATAAATTGCCCAATTTGTCTACACAGTAGAAGTTGAAGAGGCAAAGTTTATCTATCTCCAGATATATTCATATGCAGAAAACATATATACAAGTACAGATCTAACTAGGGCATGATTGATCCCATTAAAATCTCAACCAGCATCTTTCTGAATGTTTTAAATCCAGAGGTTGAAGCTTAACATTCCAATGATTGGGTGTCACCAGCTCCCGTATACCAGCATTCACATGCGAAGATATGCTAATGCATGTGGACACAATAAACAAATTGAAACTCATTGCATTCTTCAAGAACAGCCATTTCCCCCCAAAATCATTGTTGCTCAGGGAGCCGTCGATTTGAAATAACATATTGGTGAGAACTTTCAGTCTTCTTTAATCATCCATATAGCTTTTCAGGTTTATAAGCAACATTTTCCATCTCATTAAAGCTTTTTCCATTTAAATATTCACTGGGGCAGTCATGGTTAAAACTGAAGCTTTGGCCATCAGTGAAGGAGGAAGAAGCTGTATAAGAAGCTGACCGGAGACCATCGGAGTGGGCAAAACTATGTTCGAACTGGATCCTGTACAGATTCCAGTGCCTCCGTAGGACAGACTGGACCTATTTTAGAAAAAAATAAAAAAATAATAACTGATAGAAGTTAAAGGGGAAAAAAACTGGAACTTGTTTTCTTTCTTTTCTACTCTGGATCAACAATTCCATATTGTTGGTCAAGATTCAAGTCTATTGAGCTTTTTTCCCCTTTCCAGGGGACACAGAAGGAAGAACACAGTACTGAGCAACTAAGATATAAAAGACAAGAAAAGATATATCAAAAAGTCAAGGTATAAGGGGAAAAACATATACAATAGCCTTGCATTTTTAGATGCTTCATTTGGTCACTTGAATAATTTAATGCTGTACAAATTGTGGAGTAAGCTTTCTTTAATAGCATTAATAACTATTAAATGCTGAGTTATATTTATATTTCCACTTTCCATTTCCACCGCACTGAAACCTGAATTTTGTAATGGGGGTTACTCTCCTTAAGAACTTTATGGCCCCAAATGTATCCCAAATACCATTAATTGAATTTCAATTCATCCCAGTTCTGTAATAACCAAAAGAGCCTTTGATTTAGGTGCTTAAAGACACAGAAATGTGCATGCAATGACTATCATTTCGAATAAAAGGAAAATGTTATAAAATATTGTCCAAAATAGTGGCTGTGTTAACCTGTTACAAGAACAGCAAAGGATCTACAGGCAGCACAAAAAGATTAAAAAGATGGAACTTGATCACTTCTAACACTTATAATTGCTATAATTAGCCTTGAAATTGTTGGCCTTCAAGGAAGAATCTCTGGTTGAAAGACTGTTTGAGAATCCACATGTATCTCTCTGAATAACTATAAGGATGGAGAGATTACATATGAATGTAATAAATTTTCTGTAACACTACTGATCAATTTTAGATGCTCGGCAGCATTTGAGACAATGTATTTTTGTTGGCTTAATCCTGCAGGATTTTTGAGTTGACAAATCTGATTTATATTTCCATCAAGCTGGTGGAAAAACTGTTTCCTGAATAGAGTTCACCTTGGTTAAAAATATGTTGGCTAATACAAATGAAGCCACATAAGGCCTAAATTTGTTTACCCATTTCTTTGGAAGGATGTTCTGTTTTACAATAGTTTCCGTTCATACAATGTGGTAAGCCACCTGTGCAACAGGAAGTTTGATTTACTAGAGGCTTTGATGAAATGTGAATGGAATTCATCACTTCTAAGAACAGCTGATAGCAGAAGAGAGAAACTGCAAATCTGCTCTGTTAAAGATTTAAGAGATGTTGAAGGGAATCTTGTGGCTCAAAATCATCAGGTCCTGAGCAGGTTTTCCCATTCATGATAATTATTTGGGGAACAACAATTTTCTGTCACGAATCGTAAAGATTTATACTTTGAAAACTAATCAACACGTTGTAAGGGTCTTGTAGTTTGAGACCATCAAAATATGATTGAAAAATCAGCCATGTGTACCAGTAGGTTTCACAGATAATTCTGGCTTAAATTTATTGATTTATTTTGTTTTTACTTGCAGGAAATTTATTTATTATATTTGGTACTTATATTGTAAGGAAGACGTTGGTGCAAGGAAGACATTGTTTTCCTTTTCAGCTACAGACAAGAAATTATTCCTGACAGAAAGTTCAGTGTGACTCATTGAAAGGTATAGTGCAGGGATGTCAAACTGGCGGCCCATGGGCCAGATGTGTCACACGCAGGCCATGCCTACCCCAGCTCTGCAGATGGGAAAAAAGTCACGAAACATCATGTGACGGCAACGTGATGTGGCGAGTTTGACATCCGTGGTATAGTGCATTCTCTTTGAGCATTTTATGTGTGAAAATGACTAAAGCAGCAGTGGGGGCAGGGGAGAGAAAGATAGTTAATAGCCAATGGAAGACAATCTTCTTAAAATTCCATGAAAGATGCAGGATGATTTAAGCTTGATCTGGAACCATCCTAAAAGCTTTTTCTTTACTACTATTAGCTCTAGTTACTTTTAGAACCTCAAGCACAGCTAGGTTTCAAACCAGCAATCCAACTCCATAATATATATATATATAAATGAATTACTGTACCTCTCCATTAAAAAAACAGAAAATTGTTGCCACCAGCAAACCCTGCAGAGTAAAACAAGAAATGATTACTTGCCTTACATATGTTTGTATTTGAAAAATGAATGATATTATAACCCAAACCAGGCATACTCTCTGAAGTCATTCCATGGCTATGCTTTTAGCAGATCCCTGAACTGCATCTCATGCCATTCCAGAGGAACCTTAATTATCAAGAATACTTTGCAGAAAGAGTGACAGGCAGCTGGAAGCCAGCGGGGTTTACAGGTCATAAATAACATTTGATTTAATCTTCATTGATCCATCCTACAATAGTTAGACCAATTTAAATAGGACTGAAACAAAGGGATTCTAAAATATCTCCCCAAAAATGATACCTTTCATACACTATAGTTCTCTGCTGGCTGCACCTTTGATGTCATTTGCTCGAATCTGAAAATTGTTCTTCTCTTCCTAATTATGATTTCACTTGGCTTTACATTGGATCTTATGGTTATTCCGTAGCCAAATGTTACTGGCTAAGAAAACAGATCTTAGAAGTAGGTCTGCCAGAGCAGTTAACTACAAAGTTGAGAAGGAACTCATGCATGATTGTAAAAGGCCAGGCTACAAAAAACACTTTTACTCCCTTTCATATCTTTAGAATGGCAATCCTGAAGGCAAAAAATGCAAAGGACTTGTTCCCTTTCTCTCATTCTTGCGTTGTCATTCAGTTCTCAATATGAGAAATCTGAGAAAAATACTGTACTAAAATATGTATTCAGGACTTCCAACTGCTTCTTGAATAAGAAATCAGTTAATTTATTCATTATGTACAGGTTCCAAGCACTATAAATTCCCAACACTTCTGAACCCTCGATACCTGATAGTGCATCAAGATATGCGTCACATAGTTGAAAATCTCTATAGCAACACGACCTTGGGGCTGCCATGGGACTAGCACAAATTCAATGCCGAGTAGGGGCACCAGTATGAGGGTGGCTCTAACTGCCTTCATGTAGAGATTGGATTCCGCCTGATGGGTGACTTTTAACTTTGTGATTAGAACACGGACAATGTTCAACAGGAAAAAGAGATTCACCTGCAAGGAAAAGAAGAGCGTTCTGTGAATGTTTATGATTTCCTTTTACAGATCATATGTTGCACCTTCAAATTGAATCCCCGAAAGTATCTGAGTTGTGGTGGGAAGATTTGGGGTTGAAATGATAGGGATAGGAGGTCCAAATTCGTTGTGATAAAAAAAATCTTTAAAAATGCAAGTGTTTAAAATAGCATGTTACAATGTATTTGGCATTGACCGTACTATATGATTTAAAGACCCTTTCATTTCAAAAGAGGATAAATGATTGTTTGCATTGTTTTATTATATTGTTCCAAGATAGCGATAATTAGTAAATGGTTTGGTCACTTTGTATCAGTAAATAATTACCGCATTACTATTAATCTTCTCATCGTTCCTATTACCCATCTCCTCCCACTTATGATTGTATGACTGTAACCTTGTTGCTGGTATCCTTAAGATTTATATTGACTGTTTCCCTATGATTATCATTAAGTGTTGTACCTTATGATTCTTGACCAATGTATATTTTCTTTTATGTACACTGAGAGCGTATGCACCAAGACAAATTCCTTGTGTGTCCCAATCACACTTGGCCAATAAAGAATTCTATTCTATTCTATTCTATTCTATTCTATTCTATTCTATTCTATTCTAATGAAAATTCAAGAAGCAGCTCTGAAACATCTCTGGGTAGACCAAGCCAATCCTGTCAAAAACTATTTTTTCTGACTTTATTAACAGGTGACTTTATTAGATTATTCTTAGTACTATTAATACATTTTATATTCTTAGTACTATTAATACATTTTAATCATGAAATAACGTTAGCTTGAAGAAAGACATAAATTAAAAGTTTTCTACATCATACATAGAATAACTACAGCACAGATGTAAATCTTCAATATTTTCAAGGAAACTGGTCAAACATTTTGGAATTGTTTTGGATCTTTTCATATGTTGTGCTGTTTCCTCTATTTTTCCTGTTCCTCCTGCTTTTAAATGCTGTATTAATATGATGTTAGTAATTGTCCTGATTATTTAAAGCACAGGGGTTTAGTATTATGTAAATGTATCAAACTTGACATTTGGATTTTTTGTTTTTGTTATTATGTTGCTGGAGTTATTGTTCTTTCCTCTTTTTTTTGTATTTAAAGAAGAAAATCAGAGGAAAATATCCACACACACATACAAGTAGTCCTCAACTTACAACAGTTCGTTTAGTGACCATTCAAATTCATAACAGCACTGAGAAAAAGTGACTTATGACTTTTTTTTCTTGGTTACGACCATTGCTGCATCCCCATGGTCACGTGATCAAAATTTGGACACTTGGCAACTGTCTCGTAGTTATGATAGTTCCCCATTGATTTTGTCTGTCAAGATGGTCGCAAAGGAGGATCACATGAAGTATCGGTCATCAGAAATTTATATAAGGGCAGCTATTGAGCACAGTGATACCTTTGCTCCCCCCAGTGATGATGGACAGTTCTTCAGATCCTTTTGGTCCTACATCAAAATCTGTACAAAATCTGTATCTTCCATATAAGTGATGTAAGGATCTATTTTGAGAAACATGCTCCTTCTTGACATTTTATAATTAGAATTCCCCTCTGTCCCCTCCAAATATGGAATAGTCTCAAGAGACATGAATTTCATCAGAATTTGAGCCTTTTGACTCACTGCTGTAGCATGAAACTATTTTAAGAATAAGTTCCAGGAAAATAGAATAAGAAACCTATGCCTCCCAAAGAAAAGCATTTCCAGTTCTCTAAGTTAGGCTGAAGGCGGCTCCTACTGTGTAGTGGTACCTGAATTCTTTTCTCTTAGGAGACAATAGGGCAATAGAATCGTCTCCTATTGTTTCTTAGGAGACAATAGGACACAATTCTGGTGTTTGCATAAATGTATGAAAAGCTTAATCTCACTTGAGAATATGACTATGCACACAGTCCCGTCTTTTCTTCTCTCCAGCCTCCACACATTCGGTGGAGGAGGACAGCTTTATTTGTGTTGACATTAATGTGACTACAGCTTTCTGTGCAACAATAAAATAAGGAGGCTGGTTTGTTCTGATAACTAACTGCATCAAGCCAATGCAAATACAGTCACCCTCACTTCCAGATTCAGTGGAGGCTGCAGAGAAGCTGGGGTAGGATTAAGTGCATAGTCCTGGTCTCTCCTGGTCTCTCTCCTGATTTGAGCCAGGAAGTAGACTGTTAAAAGACCATAACAGCAACAGCGAATGTCAATGTGATCACCATTCATTTCTGTAAGTAATGGTCACCAAGCTGTGACCAATCATTTAATCACTCAAACTCCAATTCCTTTGATATTTGCCAGGTTCTCTACCAATCATCAGTTAAGAGGGACATTATTGTAATCCATTGCTTTCTTTGGAAATAAAGTTGTCTTGTCAGGAAAAAAAAAAATAGAGGGAAATTGCGATTGTAGAAAGTATCCTGTGGAGGAAATGGCAAGGTACAATTTGTCTAATTTGGTTCCTGATTAATGAGGACTTTGAGACTAGCTACTACTGGAATAGATACAATTCCCCCTCTAAACTAGCTATTTCATAAGAACCCTCATTACAGAAAAACCCCAATGATGAAAGCGAAACAGAAACATTGGTCTACTAGTATAAACTTTTACACTGATTCTTAGCCTGCAATCTTGGAACAAATTCCATTAAATATAATGGAATTTACATTGCATGTGTTACCACTCTTTTGAAAGCAGATCTGTCAATGCTTGATGTCCTTTCATGATATTCATTGCCCTTTTGCATACCTTTTCCAATTATCATTATCTTCTTTTAACGAACCCATAATCCCTTGCGGGGTGGAATCTGGGCAACTGAATGGAGCTAGCATAGTGTTTACTGGCCGGCTGCCCTTCCTGTCATCAATGCAGAGTTTTCTTCAGCAGATATATTCTCATTGTGCCCAGAGAGAGAAATATCTGCCTCTATGTAAGATCGAACTCACAGCCACCTGATTGTGAGGCAAAATTTCCACCTCTAGGCACCACATCTTTTCCAATACTGTAATATAACTGTTCAGTGGGTGACCAGAATCAGAGGAAGTATTCAAGAATACAGCTGTATCAATTTATATATGCAACTTACCACTACTCATTTATAATAATTTCTTGGATGCTTTTATACTGCAGGAAGCCAAAATGACATCTAATATTCAGTATTAAAAACCAGTGATTATGCAATAAGTGGTTTTAGTTTCAGCCTCTTTCCTAATGCACACAAGCAACAGCTGAGGCCAGGATCTGATTAGGAAAGTGCTTGTTTCCCAAACATGTGAAGGGTATAAGTCTCAAAAGGCACTTGGATGACTATCCTGACTTCAGGCAAACTTTTTCAGAAGACAAACAGTTGCTGGAAAGGAGAACTCCTTGTTCAAGCTTATGAGAAAATTGTTGATGGGACTTTGGCACACTTCTTGTGAATGCCACTCCTCAACAAGTTCCAGCCAAGACCTTTGCTGCTAGTATCTGCAGTGTCTAGTGCATGAGCCAAGATCGCTTTTTTCCATTTCTCCAAAGTTTTCTTTTTCATCAGAGATCCTTTTTTAAAAAAATATTTCATCTTCTATGGCTTCGGCAGCTATTTAGAAGGTTATGGTGTTACAATGGCTAAGGTTGGTAGTGCTGCTCCTACTGTTTTACATTACTGTGTTCCCTATCATTCTGCAAACTGTTTCCTGCTTTGAAAAGACATGAAGCTATTCTCTCAGGCTCCCTTCGCTGGGGATGAAAACTGGAAAAGCTAGGGAGGCTGCAGATTACCAGAGAGATATTTTTCTACAATGGAAATTGTAGCTGAAGTTGAAGGCACCCCCATAACAAGAGCTTCCCCCCACGCCCCAATCACTTTGTTTTTATAAGCAAGGCTGGGGAGAAAAAAACTGAACATCTGTTGAGCATGAATATAAATGGTAATCATAGAACTCCTAAGCATGACAGTGCTGCTATTGCATAACTAAATCAGCCTGCCAGGAGGCGAGGGAGACTGGTGGAAACCGCCCTGCTCAGCAGGTACATTGTTAGGCTTGCTGGAGCAAGTTATCTTGTTCCATGCTAATGTCAATCTGTCCCAGGGGCCCAATAGTACAGACACGCAATTCTTTGGATTCCAACCAGTGAAACAGACTATCACAGCACTGACATCAAACACTGACACATTTCACAACTTCACCTCAAATGTAGGTGACCACGTTCGATGTACTTGTTGTTTAGCTTACGCCCTTTTAAATAAAAGATTAACAGCCCTTACAGACTGAGAAAACATAAAACCAAGGATGTTCTTTAAAAAGAAAAGAAAAGAAAAGAGATTGTCTTTAAAAGTTCATACCAAAAGAGCAACGCAAATAGGACCATGGACGATGTACAGCAGATGAGTCTCTGAACTGATCCAGCAGCTGCAGAATATTAAAACAAAAAGAAAAAAAAGTTAAAGAATAATAATTTTGTCCTCTTTCTTGTAAGAGATTTAAAAAAAAAAATTAGAAACTCTTTCAAAGACAGAAGTGACTTACTGGTCATTGAAATATAAACTTCTGGCTACAGCATGTATGAAGGAAGGTATCAATGGGAAGCCTGTGAAATCAAATGATGGGTTTATTACTGAGACATCTCAACTTCGGGAGTGCAGAAGCAAGAGGTGATATGGCCTTTGCCAGGATTCTCACAAGGACCAGTAGGAAATATCACCCTTCCCTCCCAGCAGATGGAAGAGCAGGCACTTGGAGATAGGGGCTTCAACTGACTGGCAGTAGAAGGCAGCGTGATGGAAGAATAACCCATCTGCAAGGGAAGAACTCTCAGATAGCAATAGCAATAGCCCTTAGACTTATATACCGCTTCATAGTGCTTTTATAGCCCTCTCTAAGCAGTTTACAGAGTCAGCATATTGCCCCCAACAATCTGGGTCCTCTTTTTACTGACCTCGGAAGGATGGAAGGCTGAGTCAACCTTGAGCCGGTGAGATTTGAACTGCCGAACTGCAGCCAGCAGTCAGCTGAAGTAACCTGCAGTGCTGAACTCTAACCACTGTGCCACTTCGGCTCTTAGATCCTCAGAACAGTCTTTTTAATGCCTCAGTCTTGTACTTCTTCCTCTATCTCAGGGGTGTCAAACTTGTGACATCATGGTGGCGTCATGTGACATATTGCAACTTTGCCCCCCTTTGCTAAAACAGGTGTGGTGTGGCCAGTGCGTGATGCATTCGGCCTGTGGGTTGTGAGTCTCACAACCCAGCTCTATCTCCTATTGCCTAGGCCCCAGTTCTCCTTCTCTTATGGGATTAATTGCTTTTGACTAAAAAACACTCATGTAAAATATAATAAAATAAACATACAATCTAGTATTGCATCTGTAGTCACTCAACCACCCTTTTCAAATATATTAACCATTATGTATCTTCAGTACAGTAGCACTGACTGGCTGGCTTTGCTTCAAGCATCTCATCATGCAGCTTTCTTCATTCTGGATACCTAGCTATTGGCATATCCATGGAGAGCAACAGTCCGTGTAACCAAATTTGAGCAACAACTGAAGGAACAGTTTTCAGTAGGAAAATTTTAAAAAGTGTGTAGATTTTCACACTTTCAATACATCAAAAACAAATAAAAAAAAAGTAGGGAGTGAGGGAGGTTCTCTTAATCTTTAAGGACAGCAAGGTCCCCTGGATGACATTAGCATATTGCTGTTGTGTCTCATCCTCCACTAGTCCCAAGGATCACAGCACAGCACCATAATCACATACATTGCATTCATTTTGAGATTCAGATGCAAACCTTAGTGGGATAGTATATACTTTGGAAGCAGAAGATCTCAAGCTCAGTCCTTAATATCTGAGGTTAGAAGGTTTAGGGATTGGGAAATTTTCAACCAAAACTCATACATGGCTGCAGATTCTTATGTTCCTATTCCATTGTTACCAGTGGGACAAAGGTGGAAAACTGCCATTCTTGGAAATGCTTCCTTTGAACCATATTGGTTCCAAAACAGGGTCATTACTGTGAGACTGGTGCCCATTTCAACAGGTACTGAAAGTGATCTAGAAAAAGAACCAACTAACAATACAGGCTATATGTCTATGGAGATTTTCAGTCATCCAGGTCATAGTTGTCGCAAAGATACTTTGTCAAGAGGCAACTGGACTTTCTGGTTTTTCTTTGAAGACTTTTTGCTTCTCATCCAGAGCTGAAGAAGCTTCTTGGATGAGAAGCTAAACATCTTCAAAGAAAAACCAGAAAGTCCAGTTGCCTCTTGGAAAAGCACCTTTGGGGCAATACAGGCTGTAGTTTATCAAAACATATGTAACAACAAATCTGCTAATCTTTAAGGGGTTATATAGTTTTTTGTGGGTTTTGTTTTTCACTGGCTCTTCTGAATTTTGGGCATTTCCTTATCAGTTATTTCTACAATAGCATCTTCTGGCTACTGTACTGTATGGATATAATAGAAATAAAGGGAAGATAAGACTACTTTTCTACACTTTCAATATAAGATCAATGTTGTATAGTATACAATTTGATTTTTAAACAGTGAATTGGCTATGGAGCGTTCAGAAGCTTATTGCCTAATCATACTTTTCCACTGATGCCAGGCCATTCTGAAGGCTGAAAACTGATATATATAATCAGACCAAACTTTATTTATTCCATCAATTTATATAGCTGTCCATCTCTGTGAGTCTGGGTGGTGGATAATGATAAAAGTAAAACAAATACATATGCAAAAATACATAGCAGTCAGGAGACAGGTCCTGTCACATACTTAGGGTCGCAGGCCTGAGCACAGAGCCAGGTTTTTAGGGATTTATGAAAGTACAGCAAGATCGGGGCCAACCTAATCTCCAGGGGAAAAATGTGCCAAAAGCTGAGTGCAATGGCAGAAAATGCTCATTTTCTGAATCCTGTGAGCCTGCGTTTCTTAGCTGACAGGACCCATGGCATGCCATCCTGATGGAGAGATGGGACCTATAGAAACAACTGGAAAAGATGGTCCTCTAAGTAACCTGACAGCACACAGGCAACCAATGCAGCTCACAGAGTAATGGTGTTAAATGCATGAAACAATCTGTGCCATCAACTGTATTACGCACCAAGTGAAACCTTTGAATGTTCTTCAAAGGCAGCCCCATGTAGAGCTCAATGCAGTATCCCTGATGGGAAGCCATGATGACATGACAAACCCATGAGTAGGCCTCATCTTCAAGCAGGAACTGTGAGTTCAGGAGGATCTCCAGATTGTGCACCAGGTCTGAGGCGATGCCACCTCATTCAAAACCAAATATAAAAGATTTCCAGTACCAGGAGGTCCGAACACCCAAAGCTTCTCAGTCTTGCTTGAGTTGAACCAAAATTTATTCCACCCTATCCAGGCCTCTACAGCCTCTGGAGGATATCTATGACATCACTCAAAAGGCCTGGGAGACATATATGCTGAGTATCATCAGCATACTGGTGATATAATCCCCAATCTTTGCATGACCTCACTGAAAGTTTAACATGTAGATGCTAAATAGGAAAGAAGAGAGAACTGAGTCTTGCAATACTCCACATTGTAGAGGGTGTGCACTAGATCTTGCCCCCCCCCCACAACAACAACTATTGAAACCAGCTCTGGAGGAAGGAGATGTTGCACAACACAAAGCCACCTCAGTACCTCCCCCAGTTGGGTCTAAATCCCTACTGAAAGAAGTCCAGGCAATCCATTTTTTTGAGAGTCCTCTGAAGCTGCAGTGCGATTGTCTTTTCTAGAACCTTCTTTAAAAAAAAGGGAAGATTGGAGAATGGATGAAAATGATACAGTTGGGTCAGGTGATGGCCACTTGAGGAGGCAGTCACCATGACCTTTTTAAAGCTGGTGGGTCTATCCCCTCCCTCAAGAAGGAATTAACCACCCCCCAACTCCTATCACAAGTCCTACCCCAGGTGTCTTAACCAACTGTATCATGGGTATGCACAGATCTATCACAATATCATCTTTTTTTTTGCTATTGTCCAAGCATGGTTATCCAGAGCTCTTCATACATGGACAATTTCCATTTTTGTTTTTAAAAAAAATACAATTTAACATCACATCAGCATTGTAACCATTTGACTTTGTTCCATGAGCCTGATTAGAAATTGTTTGCTTGGAAAGGGCCTTTGTTGAGAAAGCTAAAAAGCTATTTCTGTTTAGGAAATGAAAGGCTGTTGTTTGTTAAGCTTCCAATGCTCCTGCAACTAATTCTAACATTTAACAAACCTCAGTTGGCTAAATAAGCTTGTTTTAGTCCCATTGCCATTAAGATATAATTTTAGCCAGATGTTAAAGCCCATTGCACCTTTAAACCATTCATAAGCACACGAACTTTCCAGGTTTTCAGAGGGAGGCCACTAAATTCATGCAGCCAGGCAAACATTCTAAGTGCTTCATTGGAACCCAGCCCATGAAAGTTGACCACAAGCATCTTTTCCCTTACCATCACGCTTGTTTTCATCAGAAGAGAAAGCAAGAAAGCACAAGTGGCTTGAGACCAAGTTTTGCTACTCAACTGATGTGGCAAGGGAATTTTGAGCATTGCATCAGTAAAACATCTCAACTTTTGATGCAATACTGGCAGTAGAGAAATTCCCATAGAAGAAGTAGACATTAGACATATATACATACTTCAGGCTGAATGTCAGCCAGTTTACTCTGACTCAGGTCAGCCGAAATTACAGTCAGGCGGATTCAAAACCATTCTTTGTGCCTGCTCCTCTTCATTTGATCATCTTTTATATTCCTATTGTAATTATGTATATTTTAACCATGCATATTTTAATTACGCTCCATATCTGTTAGTTGCCCTTTTGGATGAAAAAGTGGGTAGGAATCAACTCAGCCAGTAAATAATTAAAATATCCACAAGAATATTTTGGAGTACAGTTTTAAATTCAGATTTTTGATTATTTTCCAACTCTGACTGGCTTCATCAATCTAATCTCATGGTGAAAGTAGATTCCTGTGTATACAGGAGCTTATTACCTGACTCTTCAAGTCTCTTGGCTAACCTTGTGATACAACAGCATCATGAGACTAGAAGTGCAAAGTGGTGAAAACAGCAGGTATGGTTTCTTGGCGGCAGCCACAGTTGCTCTCAAAATGCTGTCAAAATCTCGTTTGAATTAAAGCAGCAACTGACAGAAATATATTGTGTGGAATTCTCCACTGCAAATAGTTACTGAAGAATATTCTGGGAGATGATGTCCACACATTTGGAAGATACCTAATTTGGGCGAAGGCTAATTTTCTGCTTAAGTATATTTGTTTTGTTTTATCATAAAAGGTAAAATACAAAACAGCAAAACAAACAAGAGAAGGCTAATTTTCTAAAGAAATTTCTCTCCTGATTGCTGATCCTACAGATATGTCTTCTATATATACATTAACATGAAATGAAAAAGTCAAGAAATTTTAAGAACTGGTTTGGAATTATATAAATCTGCATTTGGATACTTTTGCAATAGCAGAAATATCTGTAAATTTAACACACACACACACACACACACACACACACACACACACAAACACACACACACACACACACACGGTTTATTTGTTTATAATTTATTGTAGCACAGTTACCACTAATTAATAAAATGAGCCGATACCCATAGAGAATTAGAATCAACCTTAGCAATAAATATGCTTTAATATAGAACAATTTATTTTTATAATACTGGCATTTGAAGCTATAAATCCAACTCGATTAAAGTCTTGATTCATCTAATTAAAGTGACATTAAAATGTCTCTGTACATGGGTCTCCATAAATTAAAGCTCTCAGTTAGATCCACATTTAATGGATTGTTAATAGTTCTTAAAATAAGTATGTGTTATGAAAGAATAAAAATTGATCCCAGAGGCTACATAGCATCAACACCATTGATTTAAACAGTAGGCTCAAATCTAAATTACTCATTTTAAAAGAATAAGTTTGATTTACTAGAGGCCTTGATGAAATGTGAATGGAATTCATCACCTCTAAGAACAGCTGATAGCAGAAGAGAAAGACTGCAAATCTGCTCTGTTCAAGATTTAAGAGATGTTGAAGGGAATCTTGTGGCTCAAAATCATCAGGTCCTGAGCAGGGTTTCCCATTCATGATAATTATTTGGGGAACAACAATTTTCTGTCACGGATCGTAAAGATTTATACTTTGAAAACTAATCAACACATTGTAAGGGTCTTGTAGTTTGAGACCATCAAAATATGACTGAAAAATCAGCCATGTGTACCAGTAGGTTTCACTGATAATTCTAGTTTATTGATTTATTTTGTTTTTACTTGCAAGAAATTTATTTAATAAAAGTTTATGGTCATAATAACCCTGCACAAGGTAGGCCTGTATTTATTACCATAATTTTGCCCATAACAAAGATGATTATTAGTAGGTTCCAATATCAGGAAAAAAACCAGAGTCCTCTCCAAACCCCAGAAATTATTTCTAGTCTTTCTCTCCCTCACAGGAGACCAGGAGAGGATAGGACTATGAAGTATTGAAGCTTATCCTGTTCCCTCACGATGCCACAAGTGCAGAGATCACTTCTTACATGAACCTAAATAATTCCTTTCCTATTATTTGCATATCATTTTGGCTAAAGCTAGAAATCATTCCTAAATGCCTATAATATTTGATGATTAATCACCATATCTACTTTTCTAAAGAAGTGTTTTCAGTTGGAAAGAGGTTTTACGTGATTGTGAGAGGAACAAGACACAGCATAGACTAGAATATATAACATGTTCAGAGTCTAAGATGCAAAACTGAACTTGAAATAAGCATCTTTAGTCAGCCAAAGAAGTGATGGACCCCAGATGCACCAGCAACAAATAAACAATTGCAAACAACAATTGTGGGCTTTGGGGCAGGAGGTGCACTTAGATCACGGCGTGATGCAAGACATTCAGGGCGAGAAAGGGTTCCTCCCTTTTGGAATTCAATGAGAGAATAAAGCAAATGAACGCCTATTGACCCATTAAAGGGAAAAAAAAGCTTAGGTTTTTCAAGAGGTGTGGCTTTTTACTCTGCAAACAAAAGAGGTCAAAGGAACTCCTGGAAAAATAAATGGTGGGCTTATCCCCCACTGTAGGAATGGGTAATATATTTTTTTTCAACAATTAATGTTGCCTGTATAAACACTCCTAAGATGGGAAACAATGAATAATCATGCCCTCATGCCCTTTCCTAATAGAAGACTACTTTTTCTAAATCAAAGAAGTCATTTCCTGCCCAACACTTTCTCCATTTAGCTAAGATAAGATTTGTAAGTCAGTAATATACACTTAAAAGCCACAAATGATATATTTCCAGTGTGGGGAGTGGTATCTAATGTAAAATGATATTTAGCATCTGTTGAGGTCACTCAGGTCACTGTGAATAAAGTAACGGAGGTTACAAATTGCTGCTGGCTTTCCTTTGGATGATATTAAAATTCCCCTTGAATTAAAATTACAGTATGAGTGGGCCCAGAAAGTGATATTAATATACTTAGGAAGGGGGAGGGGAAGAAGAAAAATAGCTTACCCCATCCAAGGAGATAATACCAAAGTAAATGCTGCTTTTCTGCAAATACAGCCACCACAATCAGAGTGTGCAAGTAAATGCCTTCGCAGAGCATCCAGAAGTAATTGCAAACCATTAAGTAAAAGTGAATGAATTGTGCCACTTTGCATCCAACCTATGGGAGAAAAGACCAATATGATTATAAATATTCTTGTAATATGCAAGGGATAAAACCAATTCAATTTGTATTGGGCTAACAACAATGGAAACACAAAGAGACAACAAAGATAACCCTCTCTGCTTCAAAATGCTATGTTGAGATCACACACCTTTTGGAGAAGAATTTGGAAGATCTCAGAATCTCAAAACAAACAAACAAACAAAAAAAAAAAACCACCTCAATTTCTCATCTGCCCATAGGAATAAGAATGTGGAGGACATTAATTTCCAAGATCTTGGATTCTAGATAATTAGAACTTGATTTGCATCAGCGAGTAACAATACCTGGCTGATCTTATCTGGGCTTGGGAGCAGGGTCTCCTTGTATCTGGATAGGAGAGTTACCAGGGATATCAAGATACCAAAACATATCCTGGAAAAAGACAGTGAATAATCATCATATCTTTTGCCTATATCCCCTGCATGCTCAGGTCCCTAGGAATCAAGCTTAATTTGAAGGAGGCCTGTTTCTTCATGGCTCTACTGTTTTTCTGGCATTGCTTTGTACCGCTTTTATTACTAAATTTTGTTATATCACTAATCTTATCCTTGGGACTATAGGAAGCTTCTACCATGAAAGACCTCTGGTTTATCTAGCTCAGTATTATCTACCTAGGAGAGGCTGAGCAACAATTCTCCACAATTAAGAATTCAATAAAAAGTGGATCCCAAGGATTCTCAGAGCCTTACTTTTTTCTTTACTTTTCTTTACTTTATCTAAAGAGATAGGCAATTACATAAATTGAATGAAAAGATCAATCTCTAATGGTGTTCAAACAGCCTCTCTGATGAAATAGCTAGTCAAAAGTTTTTTTAAAAAAACAATAATCAAAAATTCAGTGTAACAGAACTGTAAAACTCTCCATAATTTTCTATTTCTATATCTGCATAAATAAACTAGTTAAAAGTACCTGAAAAAAGTGGATCTGGAATTTGTTAAAAAGCAAAGAGCCACAGCAAATTATTCATTTAGTTTATTGTCAATGTTAAAGTGGATGATGAAAATAAAATTAAAACAATGCCATCCATGAGAAATGCCATCCATGTCTGCAAACAGGTTTATTACTTGTTTACCAGGTACAAAAATAAGATATTCTTGAAAAGAGTTTATTCCATGAATGCATTCTCTGCAGTCCTCAAACCTTAGACCCTTATTGTACAAATTATTATAATTATACTTATCATTATTTCTTCAATTCAATTCAGTCTGGGAGCAGTAAAAACTGTATAGTTCAAGTCCTAACCAAGAACCTGGTTAAGGTAACGTCTGAATACATAGGCAGTTCCATGTAAGGTGGTTTTTTGCAAAATCAGAATATTCAGGTCTGATAACTTCAAAATTTCCATGTATTTTATTATTTTTCCTAGTTGTTTCTCTTCAATTCGTGCATCACCTGGTATCATCATATCATCATCATCATCTCTTATAATTTAAAAGTTTAATTTAATTTATTATTAAATATAATTTATTAATTTAATTAAAAAGTTTAATTTATTAAACTTTTGTGCAAGAATAAACAATAGACCTATTTCTGTCAATCACTTTTAGAAACAGAAAGCCACTTGAACCCTTCAAGCTACTGTGAAAAAACACAGAAATAACTCTGGCATTGTGAATAGAAATGTTCCAATCTCCACTTCTGGAATGGAGACTGCTTCATTCAAACTACTATAACAAGATGCTTATTTCCTTATGTTGAGTAGGTGCCACTAGGCAACTACTTCCATCCAGAAATTAATAAGGCAGGGATGTTCATGGATACAGTTAACAACAATTTCTACCACTCTAATCAATGGGATTAAGAATAGTTCAGTGGTTAAAGACACCTGGCTACAAAACAGAAGAATGTGAGTTCTAGTCCTGCCTTAAGACATGGAGCCAACTGGTGACTTTAGCCAGTCTTGGTCGTTCTCTCTCTCAGCACGAGGAAGAAAACATGAACAAACCATTTCTGAAAAATATTGCCGAAAAATATAGCATGGACATATCTAGTTGAAAGGACCCAAAAGAAAAAGAGAGAGAGATAGAAGGCTATTGTATCAAGAGTTTTTTTTCCCATAAATATATAACACACAATAATCAGGATTATTCCTATAAACACTGCTCCTTTCATATTATTTCACTGATTATTATAATTGCTTAATTAGATGAAGCTATGCATATTTACATAGAATGTTAGTAGATCATGTTGCCAGGTATTTTATGAAGCAGCAAAAATACTAATGTGGTAGACCAGTGTTGGTGAACATTTTTGGCACCAAGTGCCGAAACAGGAGCGTGCACGCACATGTGTGCCGGAAACCGGAAGAGCAGCTGCCTGGTGCACATGTGCATGTCAGGAAAATGATCTTCCAGTTCCTGGCACGTGCATGCGTACCAGCCACCTGGTCTTCCAGTTTCTGGCACGCTTGCATGCGCGAAGACCAGCTGGCTGGTGTGCCGGAACCTGGAAGAGCAATGGGCGACGTCTCATGTGCCCGGAGAGATGGCTCTGCGTACCACTTGCCATAGGTTCACCATCATGGTGGTAGACACTTACTGGGTTATCTGCAGCCACTGTTTGATTGTTGGCAGCTCCTGATAGAATAATAATTGTTACAATAGAGTTGCAAACAAAAGAGAAAAAGAGATTCTTATGCAACGTAATCCTTTGGCAACTGAGGCTCCTGAAAGAAAATGAGCAAGAGAAAGTTAAGTTAGAGAGACAGAAATTTCTTTCCTTTGCACAGAACAGTTTCTTGTTAGCAGTTTAATTGCTAACTGGAAAGTTGCTTTGTAGTTCAAGAGCATTTGATCCTCTGAAAGAGCCCACGGTAACCCAACTGACCCTCTGAATGGAACACATTTACTTGCAGTCAGTGCTCCAAGTCTTGTGTGATAAAATATTCTACAAATGTTCATTCTACATTGTGAGTGAAAGATTGGCCATAGTCAGAGGTGGGCTGCTGCCAGTTCGGACCGGTTCAGGTGAACAGGTAGTTGTGACCATCCGCCTGGGCGCTATTCCATCCTATATCGCCGTGATTTTGAAGCCACACGCATGCATTTTCGGTGCTGGGTAAACCGGTTGTTACATTATGTGACGCCCACCTCTGGCCATAGTACCTTAATTACTCCAGGAAGCCATTAATTTGGGAGAGTTGTCCTCATTAGAAAATTAGGGTGATCAGTATCAAGACAAAAGAAAATATCAAGCTATATTCTGAAGTTGCTTTAGTATCCTGGTTTATTTTGGACCTGATCACCATTGATTTCTGGTTTGAATAGAACAAAAACAGAGGTTCTTTACCCAAAAAGAAGGAATGATTTAGTGGTATTCATGTTAAAAGATAACTACATATTTGTCTGAACATGATTGATGTGCATTAAAGAAACAATTGCAAGTATATAAACAGCATTCATTTTAAAAAAAAAGAATTAAGGCAGAAGATGAATTCTAGATGTAAGCCAAAGTTCCTAAAACAATTTACTTGGATGAGATAGAAGAGCATTACACTGAAGTATTTCAACATTTGGAATTTGGAATAGTAATACATTGTTTATATAATATAAAGAACAAAACAGAGGTCAGAGTGACTTGTGACACAGTGATATTTCTTATTGGTTAATTAGTCCTTCTCCTGATTTCTGGCATCTTGAAGGTCGTTTACCACAGCAGTTTAAATCAACTGCCACTAACAGTCAGTCATGCATATGGGCTAAACATAAATTCATATTTGGACTTACAACTTGCCAGAAAAATTGACATATAAACTATATTGTACTTGCAGATTTGGTCTCTATATACCCATCCCAGTTAACAGTGGCTTCATATGTCTCTCCAATATCAAAAATTCCATAAATTCAGGCATAGACTTTGGAGTCATACGATCCCAACAGTTTTCTATCAGGTAACTTCAATAATTTAATATTAGGATAATATGAATACAACTTAACAAATCCAGCTGTGAATCAGTACTCAGAATGCTAGAAGTAATATATTATTAATTACATACAGATAATGACTACTGTATAAGCTATATGGGTGAAAGCAATCTATAAATGAAAATTATACTTACTTAAAATAGAAGAATATGCCAAGGGAAATAAGAAGTGAAACAATTGAAAGGCTATGGCCAATTATAGAGATATAGTACAGATTCAGAGCTGTCTGTAATAAAATGTAGAAAGAAGAATGGCCATTTAAATACAGCTTACTAAGCATTAGCCCAAACATTATTTCAAAATAATTGCTGGAGAACAAGAGTATCAAATCTAATATCTGAGAAACATTTCAACATATCTTGGTATGGGCTAGAGCTGGTGACAACAATTTCTGAAATTGTGCTGCTATTCTAGATAGAGGCTAGTCTGATTATCTTCCAAAATCCATCTCCCTTCTTTTTCTTTAAGGATGATCGAGTTGGCAGGACATTTTCACCGGTGGCCTCTCATTCTTAAGTTCCTCACAATATCTGAGCTTGGAGCCATCCTGCTCAAAATGTTCTACCAAGTTGGCTGTGAACTGACAGAAAAAAATTCGAGTACCCCAAGCATTTTGTTCTACCCTAAAAACGAAGCACATTTTCAAGATTTTCAATCTTGAAACTTCTCTTTATTTTACTGTATAATATTTTGGGAGATTTTGTCCTGATAGGTAGCATGAATTATCAGAAAGAATGTTATCAAATGATAAACTGTATCAGATCTTAATTTAATTCTTTAAAATATTAATGAGCTGATTTTTTAAAACAATTATCCTACCTTGCTTATTTGTAGTGCAGTCTCTCTGAAAACAATGAGCATTGTCTATGCTCAATAAACTTCAAGCATTGTTTTGTTAAACACGACAGCAATACTAACATGATCTCCCATGCTGCAGCTTAACAATATTTTACTTATTTTTTCTTCTACATTTTATTGACTGTACTAATTCATTCCATGTCATCCCTATTTCTTTTTACAAGTAAGCATATGTTCTGAGTATATACTGTACTAAGTATATACATACATATTGAGCTCATTTTCTAAATACTTCCAAAATGTTTTTATGAAAGCCATGCGTATTGTGGTATGGTTGAAAACAGCATAAGAAGGAAAATTTATACACTAAAGATGACATGGCAAATACGAATTTTCCACCGTGTTTTCAGGAGGGGAAATAAATAAATGCTAGCACAAATGTAAATAAGGAAATCCGATACACATGGAAAACAACAGAAAATATTTCTGAAATAAATAGATGAACAGCAAGCTTGGATTGACTTCTCTTATCTCTATCAAATATTTCTGTTTCATTGTAGCACTCACCAGCTGACCCATTAAGGTTAGGATTTTAATGTTCCATAACCAAAAGGGCTGGTAACCTTTCTGTGCCAGGAATTATAGGGAGCTCATAGGAAGGGCACAGTTAAATTTAGGCAAACATGGTTTTTTGGAGAGGGGGGATTCTAACTTTAAATAAATTTGCTAACACACCATTATGGTTATTGCTCCACATATTTTACTCTCACAACAACTCCTCTCTGGGGTAAACTATCCTGAGAAGGACTGACCCAAAGACTCCCAATGAATCTCTGTGGTTGATTTTGATGAAAGCAAGGATTTTCCCACTCCTGGTCCATCACTTTCACAACTATACCACACAAGCTAGTGTGAAAATAACAATAGAAGGTGTGTATGTGTGTGTGTGTGTGTGTGAGAGAGAGAGAGAGAGAGAAGGGGGGAGAAAGAGAGAGAGAGAAGAGAGAGATGGAAGAGAGAGAGAAAGGGAGTGAGGAGGAAGAGAGGATTTAAAGACAGACCAGTATCTGTAGGAGTTAAAACCCTGTTGTAGAGTAATAAAAGTATAGAAGCAATAGTAATAGTACACTTGTAGTATACTTGTAATAGAAATAGTAAAATATAGCATAGAAATACAGGTGAGTATAGAATATAGCAGTGATGGCGAACCTTTTTGGCATCGAGTGCCGAAAAGGGAGTGCAGGTGTCTGGGCCACAACCCAAAGAAGAGCTGCCCAGGGTGCATGTGCGCACCTGAAAATGAACTTCTGGTTTCAGCTATTGAACTTCCGGTTACAGCCAGCTACTCTTCTGGGTTTCTGGCGCGCGTGCACATGCGACAATCAGCTGGCCGGTGCCATGCTCACGCAGGAAAACTGAAAACCAGCTCTTCTAGTTTCCAGCACTGCTGCATGCAAAAAGGCCAGCTGATCATCACGTGCGCATGTGTGCCAGAAACCCGGAAGAGGAATGGGCGACGCCACACGTTCCAGGTGACATGGCTCTGTGTGCCACTTCGGGCACGCATGCCATAGGTTCGCCATCACGGGAATATAGTATAATAATAGTAGTAGACTATCGTATGTAGAACAGTGTGTAATATAGATTTTAATGGAAATAGAGCACAGTACAAGACAATAGACATAAAAAGAAATCACTAATACATGTTTGCAGGTTTCACTTTTGTATCTTGGATATTTCTTTCAAAATAAAAATTTCCCCCAGCTCTTATAGAGAGATACAAAAATCCAACTGCATAGGGTCCAGTGCTTTTGCAGATCATTTGACCTTGAGTCAATCAAATTGAGTATAATTTTAAAAGCACCATGACAGATTCAAAGGCCATGGAGCTAGCAGCCAAATCTGGTCATTGCAGCCCTGAATAATCCACACATAGAGAGAAGTGACAGATAATGTAGCCTTGTTTGCTCTTAAAATGATTCCAGGTTGGGTGACACTTCTGGAAGTCAGTAGAATTGGCTGCCCAGCTTCTCATACATCGAAAAAGCAGAGCAGAACTTGAATAGAGGATCAGATTTCAAACCAGGCTGCATGACTGATGAACCTCTGCATAGATCTGCTGTCTGCCTTTGATTCTGCTGCTTAGTAGAACTTGAAAAGACTACAGGATTAATTGGCCAGAATCAAAATATAGCCATGGGATGGGTAGCAAAGTGCCTGGGGGAGGGGGTCACACAAGATGTGTATTGCTTGTCCTAAATGGAAACAGTATTATTTCCGCTGTTGCTCCTGGTATTGTTGCTCCATTTTTTGCTTTTATAGAACAGGTTCTCAGATTTCTTGCACATTATTAGCCCTTCACAAACGAAGCTATTCCCCCCCCCCCTTTCTCTGGAATGAAGTCTCTAGGGTCAGTCAAGGTCTGTATTAACCGGCCTTATAAAATTTGTAAACCAACTGCACTGTAATTCAATAGCAACTTCCTGGGATTTAAGCTGTTAGGAATCTGAACATGCTTCTCAAGCTTCAAACAAATTTTGACCAGCCATGCTGTACTAAGGGCAGCTTGGCGAGTAGGCTGTCAATGGGGATTCAGAACAGCTTATTGTTAGGATTTTACATTTGATCATTGCCCGCTGTATTTATTTTCTTGCCTTCTATCCTTTTTTACATAAATTTTCACAAATTGCAGCAAATCCATGACACTAGCTCTATTCTCACAGTTCATCCAGAGTGAATGGATATCCGGACAACAGAGATGGAAACACATTCAACTGAGTGTCTAGCAAACTATACATATTAACAAGTATTCACACCTCCCTGTGATTGGATAAACTTGTTTTGTTTGTTTTTACCATTTCCTACAATTATTGTGTGTGGTCAGTCCTGATCCTAACATAAAATCTCAGTACATTGAGTTTTTTTAAATCATGGAGAAAGTAACGGTATGGCCCTCATTAGAGAAAAGACATTGGTCTTTTAGCAAGAAACAGAAAAAAAAAGTCAGAAGTTACTTTATTTTTTTCTTTTACGCTTTTCTTTCTAGAATTTTTATTGTTTGCACCTTTATCTCTTTTCTCTTTCCCAGCTGTTTCTCTCTTTGAACAGTTATTTTTCTTAGTTTCTATCTTTATGTTTTATAGAAAAATTAATAAACTTATATTAAAAAAGAAAAATAATTCTTCATGTTTGTTCTTTCATAAAAAAGCTGCTAAAATATCTATCTGTAATGGTCTTTCCTTCCAGCTATTTATGATCTTGATAAAGGACAATATTTCTACCTCAGGATTGAAATGAGGGGGGTCCTTGGCGCTCTCTGAGCTTGCTTGTCTTTTTGCAGACATTTCATTACCCAAACTAGGTAACACCGTCAGTGCAGTGACTAGCACTGGGTAATGAAACGTTTGCAAGAAAACAAGCAAGCTCAGAGAGCACCAAGGACACCTCCCCCCATTTATGATCTCCCTGCTTATTTTTGAAACCAATTCTATGGCACATGACATTCTGCCTGATTGGAAGTGGTAAAAAAATACATAGATATAAACACTCAAAATGCTAACAATACATCCTACACATGTCTATTGAGAAATAGGTCCTGCTTGTGAAGAAAACTATATATGAAACTTTGACTTTGGTTTTGTTGATCAAAAAGATTTGGTGTTATAGGGATGGCTAGTTATATAGTAATTTGTAAAAGCAAAAAGTGGAGATTGGAGTATGTTTATCTTGTACTGTGCTAAGAAGAGTTGGAAGTCAATACCCCTCTTCTTTTTCTCTTTCCCCTTGTATCTCACCCTCCTCTTTCCTTGCTCCCCTTCCTTCCCTTAATTTCCTATTTTTTCTTCTCTTCTTTATATTTTATATAATAAAATAAAACCTTAATAAACATTAAGAGAAATAGGCCCTGCTTAATTCAATGCACCGTCTTCCAAGGCAACTTATTCTAGGATGGCAATCTAAATTAATTAACCTTACTGAAATATAATACAGTGGCAAGCGAGAAGAAGTTAACATAGTGGACATTTCACAGTTGTTAGGTTTTTAAAATCCTTTATTCTTCTGAGAATGCAATTACCTGCAATTTATAATATATTTGATGAGTGCAAAGGCTATAGTTTGTCCAAATTCTGTTACTCTCAGGGTGCACAAACCAGTGTCCATTTTCTTCACAGATCTTATAAACTTTTTCTTTCAGAGAAAAATTAAGGAGAAAAAAGTGAATTATAATTTCTGCATTCCAAAAGAGTTAACATTTCAATAAATGTAACAGCAAAAAGCATTGAAATACATATATACAGTACATATGCTCCCATCAACTTTATTCCCTTTTGGTGTAAGCAACATTATGCAGAGCATATAAAAGGAGCAATAAATAGTAAGGCAATTACATCTGAAGAACAAAATATGGAAAAGACAAGACTGCTTAAACTAATTTAAGCCACTATAATTTACTCCTATGTCCTATGTCACAATTTTTTCCCTATATATTAATTACCAAATCCATATTCTTCCTTCAATGTACAGTATTAATGTTCACTGAAAATCATCTACCTAAAAATGTACAAATTCTTAACCAATGCTTCCCTAATCTCTTCCCAAACATTTTTCATATGTGTGTGTACATAAATAACCAAGAGGATATTAGACTGTATATTTTTGTATCACTCTCTGCTCAACTATTAACCATTTGCAAATATTTCATTTATTTTTATACATTCTTTACTTCCATCATATAGTGGTCTTACTATATTCAGGAAGTCCATATTCCTACAAAACATTCCATAACTCACTTTATCATACACTTTCTCTAAGTCAATAAACATTTTCTCAGTTTTCATCAATTTCAGTGATCTGTTAAACAGCAAAAATCTAATCTAGCCAACCAATTGGCAGAAAGCCTTACTAAATTCTTCAGTTTTTCTTGTTATCTCTTTCTGAATCCTTTCAATCAAAATTCTATGAAAGAGATTCTCAGAAATGCTTAACAAATTAACCCTTCTTTAGTATTTTATCTTACACTTGCTGTCTAATCCACAACTTGATGATTAGGATTTTCTAGGTAGTGATGTCAAATTGATTAGTCTGTATTTCCTGGGTCTTCTTCCTCCCCCACCTCTTATTAAAACACTGGAAGAATGATAGCTGTTCTCTAGTTTTCAGACATTTGCTCTACACTCCACTGAGTCAGCAGTTCAGAGATCACATCAACCCTGGGGTGAGCCCCAGCACTTGAATTCATTCAATGCAACCAGATGTTTTCTCAATATATCCTTGCCTATTTTAATCTGCACTCCTCTTCCATCCTCTAAATCAGGGGTGGGCAAATGTGGCCCTTTTACGACCTGTGGACTTCAACTACCAGAATTCCTGAGCCAGCTTGGCTGCCTCAGGAATTCTGGTAGTTGAAGTCCACAGGTCGTAAAAGGGCCACATTTGCCCACCCCTGCCCTAAATCCATAAATCACCAAGAACTGTTCTTTAACTTTGTAGCAATAAAATATGCATTTAAACAGGTTTAAATGTACATAATTAAATGATGGATTATAATCAATGCAACTTCTTAAATGAAATAGAAGCTCTCCTTAATAGCAAAATAAGCTTCGTTAATTGCTTGAAATACCCTGCTTAAATGTTTGACTTCGTAATTTAGCTCTGAGTTTAGATGAAGTGAGACCACAAGCAGCAAGTTGCAAATTTATCTATGGATACTTGTTCTGTACATGCAAATGCCAAAATATTTCAAGAGATTTGGAACAGTTTGATTTTCCTAATTATTTGAGACATCTTTGATCAAATGTCTGTCTGGAACATAAATCTGGTGGTACTTCAAAATACAAAGAAGACAAAATCTCAAGTCCATAATGTTGTTCTTGCATACACAACGTATGACCTATCAGGCTGGGCAGTCTAGTAGCCAAGTGTGAAAACAATCCTGGAGTCTGATTAAATTCCTATCTTTGCTTCCTGCCTGGAACTATTCTTTCCAGAACTTGACAAACATTTAATGGGCCACAGTATAATTTCTGTAGGCCTTGTTTGTGACACATGATACCAAGTGCATTTGAAATAATAAGAATCCTGTACTAGAAAAAGCTTGCTTTCAAATTATTTAAAGATTTGTCATAAAGTTGAATTTGCATAATTCTACCCAAATTCATAGCACTCAGAGCACTTACTGGCTCTCTCAAGTAGACATACAGTACTGAAGTCTTAATCCTTACCTGAAGGGTCAAAGTCCTGAAAGTAGTCTGGACAGTTTTGATCCACAGTTTGTCCTGCCGGAGTACTATCCCAGCATAACCAACCATCCCATGTTCTGTTGCAATGTGGACCTACAAAGTGAAGAGGCATCGTTTGAAGCATTTTGTTCTAATTTACCAGGGCTGGGTACATTTTTTTTCTGTACACACACACACAAAATCCTTTCCTTGCAAGGAAGCAAACCTTTGGATCCAATCCAAATTCCTTATGATTGACATATGTAGTATTTGCTTCCAAAGAGGCTTCCATACCAGCCTTGGTTATATAACTCCTTCCTACCAAGAGAAAAAACACCATCCATTATTCTTGCGTTGGGTTCTTTCTTACAACTTGTTGGATGTTTACATCTTTCTAAACTTTGCCATTTTGAGTTCTAAAACTGTCACCTAAATCTTGGCTATTAAAAATACTGCGCTTGAACAGAAAACAACAGAAAGGTTTAACGATGTTGTTCACCATCACGCTCTTTTATCCTGTAACTATTATGCTACAATTTTGCAAGCACCTTGCCTGGAAACACAACTGTTTTCCTGTAAATTTCCCCAAACAAAATAAACCAACTGAAGCAGGGAAAGGGAAGCAAATCCGTCTCACCCTGACAACCTCTGAACACTTCCTTTGCATGCTGAAATCAGTGTTTCACCTTCTGAACTTGTGCAGCTTTCTTAGCTGCAGATATCACTAGGACATCTATCACTTTAATCTTGAGAGGGGGGAGGGAAGCTTCTAAATATTTTTGTCTGAAACCAGGCAGGTTCCACCTGGTTTGTATTTGTATTTGTATTTATTAGATTTATATACCGCCCTTCACCCGAAGGACTCAGGCAGTGAACCGCCAAATAAAACACATAACAATATATAAAATTAAAAAAAAAACAATTTAAAACATATTAAATGAATTTGGCCCTTACGCATTAAAACACCCCCTTTTTTAAAAACAAATTAAAATTAGCAATTAAAAGAGTTAGGCCAGCCCAGCTTGTTGGAATAAAAAAGTATTGAGGGTGCGGCGGAAAGTGCGTACATCTGGAATCCTCCGTATCTCCAGAGGGAGTTTGTTCCAAAGGGCAGGTGCCCCCACAGAGAAGGCGTGGGGGCCGCCAGCCGACACTGTTTGACTGACGGCACCCTGAGGAGCCCCTCTCTATGGGAGCGTACTGGCCAGTGGGAGGCTATCGGTGGCAGAAGGCGGTCTCGTAAATGCCCAGAACCTAAGCCATGGAGCACTCTAAAGGTGGTAACCAAGACCTTGAAGCGCACCCGGAAGACCACTGGTAGCCAATGCAGCTCGCGCAGAAGAGGTGTTACATGGGAGCACCACATTGCTCCCATAACCACCTGCGCAGCTGCATTCTGGACCAGTTGAAGCCTCCGGGTGCTCTTCAAGGGGAGCCCCATGTAGAGAGCATTACAGTAGTCCAGGCGAGAAGTGACGAGGGCATGAGTGACCGTGCATAAGGAGTCCTGATCCAGAAAGGGACGCAACTGGCGAATCAGGTGGACCTGATAAAAAGTCCCCCTGGCCACAGCCATCAGATGTTCTTTCAGAGACAGCCGTGTATCCAGGAGGACACCCTGGTTACCATGAAAAACCAGCTGGGTGATATTGTGCCAGTCCCAGTTTCTCAGCCCAACTCATTTCATAGGATTGTTGTTAAGGGGAAAATAGGAGGAGGAAGGAGTATTAGATGTGTTGGCTGCCTTGAGTTATTTATAAACATAGAATAAACAAACAAACAAACAAACACCATATATTTCCACCAATTCTGTCAAAAAAAAGAGAAAAAGGTAACAGGTGTTTGTGGATCTCTAGTAATGATCCATTGCATGGAAATCCCATTTCTAAATGAATCCCATTTCTGAGACTGGAAACTTCTGAACTGGTCCAAGCAAATCACCCTGCTTTCAAAACCACCAAATTAGGATCAGAATGTTTCCTCTTTTTTTTTTTAATTCTTTGCAGAAAAAATTCTGTGCAGTATATTTCTTTTGCTTCTCTAGTGCCCTAGGATTTATACTGATGGTATTTTTGAACTTTATTCTGGGGAGATGATAGAAAGAGCTGTGGCTGTGATTGCTTGTACACCTCTCCGTCTGCTTAAGGCCTCCCTTGCTGCCTGCCTTAAATAACAGCTGTTGTGAAATGAGTTTGTTTAGGATGTTTTTCTTGGAATTTAGGAAGTATGAGAAGGGAAGCTACTGCCATTAGTTTATTCTGACACACTTGCCTTCATCTCTTGCCCATTTTGTAAAAAAAAGAAAGAAAGAAACCTTAATGCAAATCTCCTGATTTTTACTAAAGAGTCCTCCTCCCCATTTTTAAAAGCCTTTCTTTTGCTAAAACAATGAGAATGGTTTAAAACTATTCAAGGTTTGTTGTACATTAATAATTTGACTTCTGCAGTGTAAATAAAGCTGCTCTTTATTACAATGCTGAATAAGATTTTCATTCAACTTACCTGTTTTCATAACAGATAAGTTACAATTATTTATCACTGCCTATCAAATCAATGTGTGCCTTTAACTACAGTATCTCAGCAGCAAAATATTTTTCAACAAACATCTCTATTCATTAATTTATCTGTAATGTATTGATTCCTTTTCACAACCCAAAGCCAGAGTTACATGCAAAAGATAAACCAACAAACCAAATAGTTGTTGCACTTATTATCACATTCAAAATAAACTCAAGATTCAATTAAATTAAACAGTGTTAAATAAGAATACCCTGGAGTGCCTTACTGAAAATTTTTATTGGAACATTTGAGTTTCCAGTGCTTTCTGTAAACAACTTTAAATGATCAAATCTGTTTCTTTAGACAGGAAAAAACCAGAATCGAAAGCTGTTATACTTTCAAGTATTAAATTATTTCCAAGGGGGATGCAATAAGAACAGCATTAGGTAAAAAAACACTTTTAAATTATATTTGCATGAATTAACAGATGGAATGCTTTAGTTAGGGAAAATAACATAATATCAAAATATATTGATATACATTGTTTACCTTCATATTCTTCAGTAGTTTGCATAATTTTCTGATAACATTCAAATTGTGCTGTCATGATTTTATTATTCGTTACACCTAGTATTGTTTGATGGTCTGTATGGTTCTTAGTTCCCATTTCACTGGACCAATTTCCTTCTTTTTCATCTGGAACAGCTGTGACAAAAGCCTGGACAGATAATGAGAAAAACTAGATTGTCACACTTGCCAAAATAACTGCAAACATTGTACAGAGTGTTAATTGAATTGGATGAATTAATGCAACCCATTTTGAAGTATGTAATACGGTGCACACCAAGTAATTGGGCAGAAGAGCATTAAAGAGATTCACAATTTTTAATATACATTATTTTGTGAATCTACTACCTTGATACTCCCTAAAAAACAAATTCCTCTGAATATCTCTTTAAAGCAGGGGTGAAACTCACCGCCCTGAGTCCGAAAGGAGAAGGGCGGTATAGAAATTTGAATAAAGATAAAGATAAAGAAATGTAAAATTTGTTACTACCGGTTCTGTGGCCGTGGCTTGGTGGTGGTGGTGGTGGTGGTAATGTGACTGGGTGGGCATGGGCAACTTTTTTTTTTTTTTTTAAAAACTTTTCAAAGCATTTTTTCTGCAAATGCAAAAAAATGCTTTGAAAAGCTTCTGCCAATCAGGCAACACAGCTGGGATCGTCAGAGGCTTTTCAAAACATTTTTTACCACCTCTTCCGCTGAAGAGGTTGCAGAAAAAAATGCTTTAAAAGCCTCTCTGACGATCCCAGCTGAGTTGCCTGATTGTCAGATAGGTTTTTAAAAAAATATCTGACGATCAGGCAACTCAGCTGGGATCATCAGAGAGACTTTTAAAAAAATGCTTTGAAAAGCCTCTGACGATCCCAGCTGTGTTGCCTGATCAGCAGAGGCTTTTCAAAGCATTTCTTTTACCACCTCTTCCCCTGAAGAGGTTGCAGAAAAAAATGCTTTGAAAAGCCTCTGACGATCCCAGCTGAGCCGCGCGATCATCAGAGGCTTTTTTTTTTACTTTTAAAAGCATTTTTTCGGTGGAAGAGGTTGTAGAAAAAATGTTTTTAAAAGAAAAAAAAAAAAGCCTCTGATGATCGTGTGGCTCAGCGGGGCAGGGGGGGGGGCAGGGATTTTTGCTATCAGTTCTCTGAACCACCTGCCGCCATCGCGATCCGGTCCGAACCGGGAGCATTTCACCCCTGCTTTAAAGGTATAGTCTCAATCTCTCCCTCACCCTCTCTCTTTCTCTCTCAACAAAAATATCTCCATGTATAACTGTCCAAAATGTGTTGAGTTTCAGGCACCTCAGCCTAATTTTGTAAATGACTTAAATTAGTTATGTGAGAATGGAGCCTGCTTTCACGGTGCTTCAAAAGCCTCTTTCTCCAAACTGTGCAATTTTGAGAAGGCAGCTCTTGAAAGATCATGAGAAAGGAGGCTGCTTGGCATGAAGTGGTGTCAGTAAGAAGGTCACACTTCACATAATCTGGATCCTTACCACCATGGCATTTTACACTACTTACCCGGAACTCTGTCCACTTATCCACGAGACTGCTTAATGACTGCATCCAGGACTGCTGAAATCATTGATTATTGAAATGGTCATGTGACATCTTGCTTAATGACTGCTTCACTCAGCAACCAATATTCCACTTCACTCAACAACCAATATTCCAGCCCCAATTGCAGTTGTAAGTCGAGGACTACAGTACCTCTATGATTGATATGTACACTCTTTTGTAGCATATTTAATAATTACAACCTTTTGTAATAAATTTGTTCTTTTCACTTCTGTGTTCCACTTGACCTGTAAATCATCCTGCTGACACCACTGCTGCTTTAAGATCCCCTGCGCACAAATATTCTGATATTGTTATTTTGCCATTCAGAGTGGTTTTCTGTTACCTCTACAAAAGCCTGACAAGTTTCAGAAAGGTGATTATGATACCTTTTCACAAACTATAAAACTCCAGTTCTTGTCTTGGCTAACATTCTGACTGGAGAAGTGTCCCAATGAACAATGAATATCTTGACTTTGACTTGTCTGTAGCAGGGGAATGTAGGCATTATTTTGGATTTTGCAAATTTAACATAAATCTTATTATTTATCAATATAGCTTTAGTAAAAGTATTGAGATTTATATTATTTGTACGTGTCTGCTTATCGTAGCTCTGACACCTGGAGTTGTAGTCTCCAACTAAGAATCCTAAATTCCTTTCAGTTGAGACAGCTGAAAGGAAAAACTGCTGTTATTTCCTGCAAAGGTTTTTCTACTGCATTTGTTTCCATCTTTTCTTCTGCCAGCCAAACAAACTGCTACTGGTTGTAAAAAAAAAAAAAACCTGGGGAGTTGAAATGCCACAGATTGTCCAGCATATGTGGTCATATGATTGTGATTTTTACAAGCTTCCCTGCTGGCTTCTGAAAAGCAAAGTCAACGAGGAAACTGGCAGAAAGTCAGAAGTTATGATTATGTCAGGTCCTCATTATCCACAGGATTCTTGCTTAACAATGGTAACTGGGGATTGCTAGAAATGCTATTGCTAAATGGTGTGGTCACATGATGTCATGCTTTATAACCACATTGCTTAATGATAGAAATTCCAGTCTCAATTGCCATTATTGAGGGAGGACTACCTGTACTGGCAGAATTCAGAAATCATAAGCCATAGTATGATTTATTTGTTTTTAGTTTAGCATGAAATATCAAAGCAGCCACTGTGGTTTGTAACCCATAATTAATGGCACAGTATGTTATGGAAACCCAGTCAACTGGGTATTATTTAATAAAACATGGTTAAAACATGGAATAGCATTTAGAATGCAAGACAAGCAAGTGGAAGCATGCATGTCATCATCATCATAACATAATGTTGTGTCTCAAATGTCATGTAATGTAATTGGGACCTTGGAATGATAACATTATTGCATATGTGCTCTCAGGAACAACTCCAAGAACAATGCTTGTTAATGTTACAGACATTGTTGATTTATACTATGTCTCATTAAATTAGAATTCTACAGATATGCTAAGCTACAACCCTCAAAATTCTCATCCAGAAGTCTTTTGAGTGCTATCCCATCTGGAAGGCACCAGGTTGAGAAAGGCTGATGACAAGTAGATCTTCAAAACTGATTTATTTCAAACAAAAGTCTTCCTCAAGAAGCCAAAACTGAGACTATCCACACAAAGGACATGTGCTATACAACATAATTTGTGCTGTGTTTGATGTTCTGATCATAACCACTGGGTGCAATGGTGGCACAGTGGTTAGAATGCAGTATTGCAGGCTAACTCACTGCTCACTGCCAGGAGTTTGATCCTCTTAGGCTCAAGATTGACTCAGGCTTCCATCCTTCTGAGGTTGATAAAATGAGGACGCAGATTTTTTAAATTGCTTTTATTATGCATTTTCCTTTGTTATACACAATGTTTCCATTTTTGCAACGGCAGTGTACTTGTCTGTATCAAATCTCTTTTAAATACATATAATTTTATACAAACCATAATTATAACCATTTTTCTCGTAATACATACAATGTAATCTTCCCTACTAATCACCCAATACAATTTAATCTATAATCAAGTATGATCCAGTGCTTATGGTATTATTGCTCATATGCATAATTGCTTTTATTTTATTGATCGTCCTTATTTATTAATTCTGTTTCTATTTTCTAACCAAATAGGTCCCAAGTTAAATAGTACTCTGTTTTAAAAAAAATAAAAAAAGGAGGACTCAGATTGTTGGGGATAATATGCTGACTCTGTAAACCATTTAGAGAGGGCTGTAAAAAACTGTGAAGCGGTATGTAAATCTAAGTGCTATCGCTATTGCAAACTTGGGTCTCTCCAATTACCTCCTGCTAGATTTGTAGCTAAGGCGGTTGACCAAAGGATCCATTATATTGAACAAACAAATTACCCTGCAAAGATAATGTATATACCTGAATGTTGATACTTTGTACTTTACAGATATGTATTTTATTACTGTATTTTTCTTGCATCTATTTTACCCTGGAATTATCCCATATTTTATTTTTGTTTTATATTTGATATCATCATATTTGCAATAGCACTTAGACTTATATACTGCTTCACAGTGCTTTACAGCCCTCTCTAAGTGGTTTACAGAGTCAGCATATTGGCCCCAACAATCTGAATCCTCAGATTTTACCGACCTCAGAAGGCGGGAAGGCTGAGTCAACCTGGAGCCTGGTGAGGATCAAAGAGAATCAAATCACTAATTCTAAGCATTGCACCACCACTAATCAATCAATAAACTATCTATCCAGCTACCTAGCTAACAGCAAGCAAAATTTAAGAGCAACTTCCATTCATGTATACACACTATTATATAAACATCTGCAGATGTGCATGTAGAGGGAACAGACTCACCAATGTCAGAGCTAAGAGAGGCAACAGATGTACAGTCCAACCAGCTTCCATCACTAAATGTAGCTTTACAAATCAGCAAAAAACTGTAGACGAAAAAAACAAAACAAGCTATAAACATCTTAAAATGTTACGGTTATGATCCTAAACTCATTCACTGGGGAAATATCCCATTGAACATAATCTGGTTTACCCCTCAGTAGTCATCTATAAGATTACTGTATGACTCAGCTCTCAGTGGGAGGGCTGAAGTTTGCACTTAACTTTCCCAGTTCAGCCAGTGAAACTTAAAAGCATCCAATGTTGGCCGAGTTCCCGAGTGTTTATTAAACAGAATTAAAATAACAGTAGCAAACTGCAGAAGACACGTCATTTTGTCTTAACCCTCAGGGAAAACAAATCAACTGAAAAAGACTGGCCAATTTGTCTGTGTTGTTTCCTTTTGTTTGGGAAGCTTGGGAAAAAATGGAAATAAGAAAGATGGGTCAATAAAGGGGAGGTCTCAATGCTCCTGTAATATGGCCTCTAAAATCATAATGTCAGAATATTCCAATATGGCAACTCAGCTCTAGTTTTGGTCTTCATTTCTCACACTCCCACCAATGTTAGCTATGGGAATTTGCAGGCGTTTGTAGCCGCATTAAATTTACTTCAATTACTGTAACCAGTAAAAGGCACATATACAAAGGGTAAGGGGGAAAAAGTCAGAAGAGAACAATTTTTGAACTGCTACATAATATATCCGCTGGGAGTGTTTCTTATTTTTTTCTTTTATTCATAATAAATAGTATGAAATAAGAAAGCAGTTCAGGGAAATTCTATCAATAGATGCCTAGTTTCCTTTACATTTCTTTTAAAGCCTAGGAAACAAGGATAATCCAACCCAATATAACATCTTGATCAGTGATGGGTTGCTCCCAGTTCGCAAGAACTGGTAGTAAAAAAAAATTAGTAGTTCGGAGAACCGGAGAACCGGTAATAACATTGGCTGGCCACACCCCCGAACTGGTCCCTGGCCCGGTCACCGCTCGCTTACCCCGCCCACCTCATCAGAGCCTTTTTTTTTTTACTTTTAAAAGCATTTTTTCTACAAATTTCTCTTTGGCTGAAAAAATGCTTTTAAAAGTTAAAAAAAAAAGCATCTGATGATCGCGCGGCTCAGCTGGGATTTCAGAGACTTTTAAAAGCATTTTTTCTACAACCTCTTCAGCTGAAGAGGTTGTAGGAAAAAAAATGCCTTTAAAAGCCTCTGGCGATCCCAGCTGACTTGCCTGATCGTCAGAAGTTTCTAAAAGCATTTTTTCCTGCACCCTCTTAAGGTTGTAGAAAAAAATGCTTTTAAAAGTAAAAAAAAAAAAAAAGTTGGCCACGCCCACCCAGTCACATTATGCCCACAAGCCATGCCCACAAAATAAGCCACGCCCACAGAACCAGTAGTAAAAAAAATTAGAATCCATCCCTGATCTGGATTCATATTTTGTTAGCTAGTATTTTGTTCTACTTCCAACTATCTACTGTAGAGGCAACTATTGTAAACACAGCTCTTTTATACATGAAGAAATTTGCACTTAAGAATTGTTCTTTAGAGAATTAAATACTGTTCACATTCATTAATCTTATAGGTCAAAAACAATTAACACAATAATTAAATATAATTAGCAATAAAAAAAGGAAAACAGTGACACAGTCTCTATCAATTAAGTGATAATGACAATAGCCTCCATTTAATTGGATAACAAGTTGTTATTCTCCATCACAAAAAATATTGATGTCCTCATTCATTCTTCTACTTTTAATATATTATCTACAGCAGGAGTCTCCAACCTTGACAACTTTATGACTTGTGGACTTCAATTCCCAGAATTCCTCAGCCAGCATGTGCTGGCTGAGGAATTCTGGGAGTTAAAGTCCACAAGTCATAAAGTTGCCAAGATTGGAGACCCCTGGTCTACAGTATTTCTTCTCATTCAAGTCTCCCGTGTTTGTTTTTACAGTCTATATAATGCATCTTCATAAAAATCACTTTTACCCCCTCTTCCTTTCCTCTTTATTCTTCCCCAGTTTGCTACAATATTTTCATGTCCCATACTCAACCATTCATAACAAATATGATCTCCAGCAATGTTGATTTTCCCCATTCATTTGAACAGAATTTTCTCCTCTGCTACCTGTCGCTTTGATATTTTCTCTTTTAACATCAGACTTAAAATGGCTTGATCTGACTCAGCACATTATACATTCTATCTTTTATGGTTAAAATTTTAAATGAATATGAAATTGCATGAAAGTACTTTTGCTTTGTTTATCTCAGGTACTGGAAAAACTAATTTATTTATTTTTGTATTAAACAGATTTACACAGATGCCTCGGTACCAAAGGAACTTGGGGTGGCAAAGATAAAAGATAAAAATACAAACAAATTATAACAAAAACAGTGATGATAGAGCTTATTCTCCTGTGTTCTTTTTTTTGTATCTCAGAACTATTTGACTGATCTTTGAAAGGATACCAGTCAGAATAGAACACTTAGTAAGATTCATCAAGGCACTTCCTTCCTTCCTTTGATCACTCAAAATAGGAAGAAATATTACCAAAAATGATATGGTGCACGATACTCATAATTTCATATGCCACATTGGTAACCGGTAATATAAAAATATCCCTGCACTGTGGAAACCTAAATACCTACATATATTTAACTCATGTAGCATTTTCTCATGTATTCGATTAATCTTCAGATTTCTTTTTTGCCAACAGTCATCACCTGCATGAGATTTATGTCAATAAACAAACAGTTGGATACTCTTTCTTTCTTTCTTTCTTTTCTCAAACAGACAAGATAATTCATAACAGAATAGAGATGATGTAATTTTGGTATGATTTGGTAAACGTCCTATGCATGATTACTTAATCTTAATAGCAATAGCACTTAGACTTATATACCACTTCACAGTGCCTTTACAGCCCTCTCTAAGCGGTTTACAGAGTCAGCATATTGCCCCCAACAATCTGGGTCCTCATTTTTACTGACCTCGGAAGGATGGAAGGCTGAGTCAACCTTGAGCCTGATGAGATTCAAACTGCCAAACTGCTGGCAGCCGGTGATCAGCAGAAGTAGCCTACAGTACTGCACTCTAACCACTGCCCCACCACGGCTCTATAAATAGAATTTATAGAGTAAATTCTAGTAGTAAGTAGTAAATAAAATTTACTACCCAATAAATGTGCAACAATATCAATTTTATTGTCTGTCTAATGTCCTTAACTAACTATTACAAAACTCTGACCTTTTAATAAATGAATTTATATTACTCTAAAACCAATTACACACCTATTATATAATCATGACAAGAAGCTTGACTGATGCTTAGGGGCAAATGTTAATTGTAAAATACCTGGGTATTTCTTTGATGCAAATTGTTTTTTTTTTCAAAGTTAGCGAATTGCAATGCTACTCAAAACATCGGAAAACACTTCATAATCTCCATTTCATTCCATTTAAATGTACTTTGAAATCTTATAAATGTTCAATAGAGTTTACTTTAACTTTGCTGATCTTTGTTGAGTTCTCAGAAATCTTAGCAACTCACAACAATAAAACCAATAAATAAAACAATCATAGCAAAAACAGAGAAACAATAAAACAAAAAACCCTGCACTTCAATTATCCTCTTTGAGATGCCCACCACAGCCTTAGCTGTTCTCCTTTCATAACATCTGCCTATACAATCCTATTCCAGCATTATTCACAATCCTGTTGAGAATTTTCCACTTCACTGAAGAACCTGCTGTGCTTTGTTAGCTGACTATCTGAAAATACAATCTTAGATGTGCTCACAGTGGTTAAAATGCAAATAGCAGAACTCTGGAGTAAAAGAGTAAATAACGCCACTTCCTCTTCAGTTCAGACTCTGAAAGGTGGATATGAACAACGTGGGATATAATAGTATGATGCCCTGCTACCAACTGGTGATAATGTAACTTATCACCTATCCCAGTGCTGGCGAACCTTTTTGGCACAGAGTGCCGAAATGGGAGCATGCATGTGTGTGCCGGAAATCGAAAGAGCAGCCGCCCTGAGCACATGCGCGTGCTGGGAAGATGATCTTCTGGTTTCCGGCCCGCGTGAATGCGCACCAGCCACCTGGTCTTCCAGTTTCTGGCATACATGCACATGTGAAGACCAGCTGGCTGGTACGCAGGCATGCACCAGAAACCAGAAGCATCATCTTCCCAGCGCATGCATGCGCACCAAGCGGCTGCTCTTCCGGTTTCCAGCGCTACCGCACATGTGAAGACCAGTTGGCCAGTGCACTGTAACCCGGAAGAGCAACAGGTGATGGCTTGTGTGCCCGGAGAGATGGCTCTGTGTGCCACTTCCGGCACGCGTGCCATGGGTTCACCATCATGGACCTATCTTATGGAAATATCTTACATCTGTAATATAATTTAGATGGAGGTGTGCAAAGCAGGGGTGGGTTTCAAAACCTGTCGCTACTGGCTCGCTTGTGGGCACACGCACATGCATAATGCTTCTGCGCATGTGCAGAAGCATCCGGGTGAATGGGCGGAGCCTCACACCACCGCCGCTACCAGTTCACGTGATCTGGGGTGAATCGATAGCAACCCACCACTGGTGCAAAGGCCCTTTTGTCAACAGCTCTACAAGTTACACATCACTCCTGACTGGGGAGGAGAAAGTATTAAGGAGAGGTAAGAAGGATGGGAAGAACATCCAGGCATAATAGTTTTAGTCGTAGTTCAGTAAGCACACAATAAAATCATTATTTTGCAAGGTGCACAAAGTCTCAATAGGTTTCTGGATGCAATTCAAGCTTCTGGTTACAACCTTCATGGCACAAACCTGAATTGCTTGCACGACGGCCTATTTCTGATTGTTTCAGCTGTCTCAGATCCAATGGGATGGGCATATTTGGAGTCCCTTCTGCTAAATATGTTATCTGGCAGGATTCAGTTGTGTGCCTCCTTTGTCATGGCGTCTGCCCTTTGGAATAAGCATACTGCTTGAGATGGTGATGGCCCTGTCTTTTGTTTTGGTTTTAACCCTATGTTAGCCACCCAGAAT